ATTATATGTCTATCCACAATAGTGTTAACCAGTTGATTTAACGATATCGCACTTGCTCTACTAACGGCTTTTAGTGCCCTTCTCAGCAAAGCAAAGTCTTTCTTAAGTAGTCCGGGAAAGATTAATGGGGAGCAGTAAAGGGGGAAGGGTAGAATGCAAGAATCGACAAACTGAGAAAGCAAAGACTGCTTTATGCCAGACTGCCTAAATTTCCTAACGTAGAACGTTAAGCGAAACATCTTTCTAGTTACTAGCAAGATGTGGGAGGACCAGGAAGGATCGGTGGAAAAACTCAGCCCAAGGTACTTGACATTAGATTTATTTTCAAACTCTATGCCGTCAATGATAGTAGGGTCATGTGAGCCAACTAGTTGTTGTAAGTCCCGTTTATGTCTGAAAGTGAAATTGACTACCTGACATTTAGACGGATTTAGCTTAAAACCGTTTGAAGAGGACCACTGACTAATGTCCGACAGAAAGTTATTTAATTTGGAACAATCTGACTGAGAGTTGACAGACATAGAAACAGAGAGGTCATCAGCATACTTGACAAAAGTAGCTACATCAAAATGAGGCAAGTCAGTAAAGGCAAATTAGAACCATATCAGAAACCAGTATTCACACAGCAAGTTAGGGATAAATTACCAAAGATGACCTCATTAGTATGTTTATCTTTGAATTCAACTGCCCATTTGAAGCTAGTTACATTGGCTGTACTCAAAGGGTTTAACCCACGCGTGTATGTGAACATGTACCTGTACGGTTGAGTAAAAGGATAAACAAATGCGTAAATAATGCACTCTTAGCCCTCTTGGTAGATACTGGACACTTGATAAAACCAGGACAGGCGTTCTCGGTTATTTACCACGTTCCTGCTCGTCTGTCTAGATCAACGCGACTACGTCTGAAACAGTAGTTATCAACGATATAAGAATAAAACTTGTGCACTATGATAGAGTATAATTCCATTATGGGTAAAATTTATTTTGTTAAAGTCCTACAGTGTTTTGCAGTAGCATTGACTGATGACGTTTCGAGCATAATTTATTGCTCATAATCATATCAAGGTGATAATACTGTGGGACTTTATCAAAATTAATTTTTACCCATAACGGAAGTAGCAATCAATACCAGAAGACCGGGTCTTTGTATACAGAAGAATTATGTCCAACCGCTATATTTACCTTGGCCTACAATAAGGCCAACAAATCCTCCATAAACATTAGCGCTTTAAATTCCTATCACTATTTTCTTTTTTTCTTTATTTCCCGTGTTTCACTGACAAACATTCATTTCTGACCTTTTACAACTTCCTGACCTTTCTTATGATCTTTATTACCATAGGTTTAAGTAGTTCTTTTCTAACTTGTTCCATCTTGTTATCATATCAATAAAATCCTGTTAATTTCAATTCACTAAAAAGTACTTTTAAGTGTATACCACATTCTCGTTATTATTCCACAATCATTATTATTGTCGTTATTTTCAACCTTGAACTTACGACCAGTCCATTCCACTTGTTGGTTTATTTCCTGTGTTACTGATATTGTCTCACAAACCACAGAATATACCCACCCTCGAAACCTGCACTTCGGTTGACCATATTTATATACATATACATACCCACATCATTAAATTATTTTATCTCATTTTATCTCTTGTTTTCATTGGCCATACATATTCAAAACTAACTGACCATTGTTCCACCCCATCTTATACTTGTTCCACAGTACATTTCTGATATGATTCTAATTTACCTTTACAATTAATGAATTTATATAATCGTAGAACCTGAAGAAGAATTTATTGAAACTATAATTGTTCCCTCTAACTATTTTTCTTCTAGAAACAATTATGTAGGATTGTGTAAGTTTGTATACTATAGTTTACTTATAAGGTCTATAGTGTGAGTTTATCTTTGAACATTAACAATGAGATTCTCATTACACTAGAAGTCCACCTTGTTCACAGACCTATTGTTTGAATTATTAGAATCTACATTTTATGCTTACATAATGTTATCACGTGCATAAAATGTATCAGAGTATCAGACACCTGATTTAATATTCATCTGTAATTTTTACGAGTTGATCATGAATTGATATCAGTTAGAGAACCATTGAAAACCAGTGGGGAGTACTGGACAGCTGCTGTTTCATCCTAGTTTGGGAATCACCGGCAGTACGCACCCACTGGGGTTCGAACTCGTCAAAACAAAACTAACCCTTTCAAACCAAACTATAGAAAATTCATATGTAATTACTGAATACCTCTGATAAAATCATTTAGCGATAGAAACAGATTAACCTTGCCTTGTAACCAGAAGGTCCTGGGTTCGAACCCCTCAGTGTGGGGTGCGTACTGCTGAATAGTTCCAAACTAAGCGGACGAAACAGCTGTCCAGTACTCTCAGGTTTTCCAATGTTTCCCTAACCAATGTCAGCTCATGATGAAATCCTGTAACCAAGAAACAGATTAACATAGACACAGAGATTCAATGATTGCCTCCTCGACTAGTGGAGAACTCTGCTACATTTTAAATGATGGGTATTAGGTTCGAGTCTCAGTAGGGATACTGTTACTCATTAGGGATCGCAAGTACATTCAGATGACGAGTCTCAAAAAGGATCGCTTCTGCTAGTCAACATCCACCAAGTAACACAAGAGATTAAATAAGTTCACCAAAATTTTTGTTTTACTCCCTTTTAAAACTCCTGACTGAGAGGAAAATAGGATAAATCAAAGTTGTAATTTGTAAGAAGACGTAAACATCGTCAATCGAATTTCGAAATTGTTCAGGCACTTTATCTTCTGTAAATTATAACAAAGCTAAAAGTCATTTTATTGTGTATACTTTTCATTGGAATGTCGGTTACAAACTATACATAAAATCAAAACTAATGCAGAAGAGAAAAAAATGGTTACTAGACTCTCTTTCGATAATATGACATCTTGAAAATTGAACAGCCTAAACCGCCATCTTTTATCATTTGTTAATAATAAGAAATTATGTGGGCAAATTTTGAAAGTAAACACTGCACGTGGAGCGCTTTAGCTGGCTGGCATAATGCATCAGCAGAAACTGCGGTAATCAGAAAACTTTATTTTATTCGATACCAGCCTCCATTTGCCACTTGGTAATAATCCAAAATGGTGGTCTATTTAAATTGCTAAATGACCTAATTTTACATGTGGCAGAATGCATCTAGTTTACTCTATTTCATGCCGTTTAAATCATCAAATTATGTCCTTAAGTGGTAGTCTATACTCACTTCCACTGCTGAATAGTTTTTAAACTGTTGCTATTAGCTTTTTTGGAAGTAATAAAAGAATTTTTGAAGGGTGATTAAAGTGCTTTTCAGACTGAACAATGTTCTTTCAAATGATATATTATTGATAGCTATTCTGCGCCAAAATTCTGTGCAAGAATTAAATGTGTTGCAGTAAAGCACGATAAGAATTCTGAGCTGTGTTTAAAAGCTTTATATGCAGCAACACTATATAAACACAAGTTAGATATTCTTGTAAACATAGTGATATAATTATAAGAAATAAACAGTTATTAACTGCATATCACTCTGTTATATCAAATAAACTTGAATGATATGGGGACAAATGCTTTGTCAAACAATCCCTTTTAGTTTCATAGCATTCTGAACATTGGTGATGATATGCACGTATGTACACTCAAAAAATTTAATTCATCTTAGATATACAGTTTCAGATAATTAAGAGAATTTTAATAAATATTAAACCAGCTATTTCTAAAAATTATAAGGTAAAATGCTTAAATTAAACTATATCTACTAGGTGTCCTACTTGGATGCACTCCTTTGCCCCGCTAAGCCAATAATAAGATAGGTAAAGAGGGCAGGTTGGGCATGAGGCTAGCAATCCCATCCCGTAAAAAATAAACACCACTTCTACCGAAACTTCATGCCACTATCTTAAAGCCCTATGTTCCACTGAGAACGTAAAGGAATTTTAAAAAATGGTGCTCTACTCAAAAAGGCCGCAGAGGTATGGAAAGGATTATTCTACTCCAAAAACCCTGATAATTATGAATAATACCGTCTCCTCAACACACGAGGCTTCCGAACTACATTGATGGTGTCTAGTGGGCACACTTAGTCAGATTATTCTCCAAACAATAAGCTGTAACACATAATACCGTTGTCATCATGTCATCTTTAGTTAAATATTAAATCTGTTGTAGAATCCTAACTAAACGTGGCTTGCAAACCAGTACACCATATCCTACATCGATTGATACAACCCAATTCTTAATTATACAACTATCCTATTTATTCAGTAGTGAGTTTTACCGTAAGCAAATTATATTTCATCAAACTTAATACTGGGTAAGTCAGGAAATTAATCATTAATGTATATCAAGTTATTTCACCTACTTATAATTCCCTTTTAACTGAAATCCACATGCATTGTCGACAGTAAATAGACTCCTACCATCCTATTCCAAAATGTTACCTACGAATACAAATTTAGTCACCAGCTGTGACTGGAAACTGCAGTGGAAATACCTGCGAGATTGATTCAGGCGGATAAAAAGTTTGGAGGTTATAGATGAAACTGAGCGATAGGTCAAGAAAGAACAGCACAAAATCCTACTGAACAGGTATTTCTTTCAATGAAGTTTTTCTCCTGTATTGGAATCTTGAAGCAAACTATTGAAAACCAACGACGTATTCCCCTTTTTAGTTTGGATATTTTGATTAAAATCCATTCATAGCTATCAGAATTATCAGTGATCAGTGTAGCATTTACTCAGAGTGGTGATCAAGTGAGCCACTTTTTTGTCAAATATTTATATTTTTTTATTTTTGATTACAGCTTGATTCCACACTGTATTTTTGGGACAAGTGTGGAATTTTCAGCATGTGATATCGGTAGCCCAAATTTTGCAGGCCGACCATAGATATCAGGTGTGCGTCGGCGGGGGCTCGAACCCCGGACCATGTGCATGGTCGGCGAGAGTCCTAACCACTGTGCCACCGACACACAAGGCCTACCGACCAGGTATTTATTTGATTTAATTTGGGTAGGAAATAAAATTCGTATACGATTGTATCTATCTCCGTAGGGATCACACCTTGGTTCATTTCAGCATAAAATCCTCTTTCAGCATGTTACTTCACTTTAAGGCCTACCGAATGTGTCTTCAAGTGATTCAATGCATCTGTTTAATCCCATACATTAAGCTAAACATCGAACACAAATATCATATTATTTGTGACCAAATAAGTGTTTACATTTACAGAATTTATAAAAAGGAGGAATATTATATAAAAAGGTGAACAAAATACCTTGTGTACATTGTCAAAATGATGAAATACAAATTATCAGCAGTATAATAACAGTCAAATATTATGATAATGATGATAATAATTGTTCATAGAATAATTAATAAACCAGCATATAATTACAAATTACTAGCACATTTTTTCACCAGCAATAGTTTTCCTCATACACACTAACGGTAATTCTGCACCTTTCAACAGTCCATCTGTAATCTTCATACATCCTTCGAAACAGGCACGAAATATTGAACATATGACGTAGAGGAATGCACACAAGAATCCAACCGGTAATGATAATAAAAAGACTAAGAACCAGGCTACACCCCAACCAATATCAGGACATTTACATGCCATTATATTATAAGATTTGTGCCTTACTCCTTGTAGTTATTGTAAAACTGTGATTTAAATCTTTATTAACAAGCATGTAGGTCTATTCAGCTTTTATTTATATATGGTACGTTATCCACTTGAAGTAAATTTTCAACAAATTGTTAAATTTAAACAACAAATCACAATTGAGCTTTATATTTATTATAAGTGAAGTAATATAAACCTCGGCTGTGCGCGTATGGATGTGAGTGCGTTTGCACGTTTGTAGATCTGTTTGTGTATGCTCCTGTGTGTGTTCTCGTGTACTCTAATGACTACACACCAAATTCAAAAATAATCTCATACAAATATTAATTATTTTACTCAGTGCTGATTACGATTCGTTCATAGAAAAAGAGAAATAATCGAATTTATACTCAGGCATGAATTAGAAAAAATAACAGCATAGATAGAATCAGTTTTCAACACAGATAAATTTTTTCATGATATCCCAAAAACTGAGTAGTTTATTTGACCAGTGTGGAAGATTATTATTATTGTTCCCTTGAGTTCCTAGTGGAACATAGGGCTTCAACTGCACGTCTCCACTTCCTTCTGTCTTCTGCTGATCTACTTTTCACCTGCATCCATGTTAGTCCATACTGTTTCAACTCCTCTTCACACCACCTCCTCCCTGTCACCCTTGCACAAACGTCCCACTCGTCGCTTCCATTTCGTCCTGGTTCCAGCGGCCTCCTCAGCTAGTGTCCATCAATCCATCTCCACTTTCTCCTGAATAATCGTTCGACGGCGATTGGTTCTTGGTTTGTTTGTTCCCAGCTATAGTTACTTCTTGGTGATTCTCTCCGGCCCGCTCGGCCATCTGATCTTCAGTATAGATCCAGCAAAGACATTTAGTTGTTGATGAAGGTCTGCAATAGCCTGTTGGAAATATTCTTTGTGACCCGCCCGCCTGCCAAGTTTCTGATCGATCCGTATAGAAGAACTAACTGACTTGATGTTTGTATTGAAAATCCCACCGAATTTCGTTGTTGATTCTGGCTGAGTGACGAAGATTTCCAGATTGGTTTCAGCTTGATGAGTGAATGTGTTTCTCACCTACCTTCCAGATTCCCGCTCGATTTTACATCCTCGTCCGTTCCGACTTCCCGTAGTTGAGAGAACGCTCTCTATATAAGTGAATGAAGTAATCTCTTTTAAATCCCTCCCATTGATGTAAATCAAACAAATAAAAAGAAGTAATATACAATCACATCGGTGTGTCACTAACTTTCATGAATCACAGAAGTCTCTTTCTGACTTTTAAAAATGCATGCGTTTCGTTAGGAAAAAAACAATCGCCAAAACTTAGCTAAACAATCTTTATTATTTTAAGTAATTTGTTCATGTTGACAACTGGTGAATTTTTCGAGTTGGACCACGGAGTGATATCAGTTAGAGAACCATTTAAAACCCACCAGGGAGTACTGGACAGCTTTTTCATCCTAGTCTGGGAATCATCGGCAGTACGCCGACTGATTTTTAATCTGATGCTCGCTAGTTAATGGTTACAGGATAGAGTTCTCTGGAGTTCTAATGAGAAGTTATGGCCAGTGAGGTCCACCTAGTTAGGATTAAGGGTGGATTTCCCACCGATGACAATGGCTGGTGGTCACGCTAAATCACGAAAATTACAATCTACAAACTTTTCTATGATCACTCCAGAAATATAGTTTACAAGTAAGTCAGTCATTTCAAAAATATTACTTCATTCTTAAAGCTTTCAGCATGGTAGGTAACATTATATTTGCTAAAACAGACAGAGCATAATTGGATTTAAAAAATATATAACTTGGACTTTTTGTGTATGAAATTATGTAAGTGAATGTTATTTGTTCTCTTTGTAGGCTCCTGTTAACTGACATCATACTGTCTTCACAAATAGCTTAAAAAATTTCTCTGGACAAGCAATTCCCAGAGAAATGCTTTTGTATTCAATTAAGGTCGAATAATGTAGTGGACATCGGTTATGCTTGCACCAAAAAATTACTGAGTGTAAACTATCTTGTAGGGGATAGTGGCTAGCAGTGGAATCCAGAATGCGTATTTCCTCCTATTTAAGACTCATCAGCTGGATGTATCTGCAATCCCAGTAGGTGATGGTGTACCTAATGAGTTGACTGATTTGTTTGAGAAGGAAGAAAAGATTATTGACAGGAAGAACAGTTTCATTTGTCTCTGTCACTCTCATATATTTAACCTCTTCTATTAAATATAACATAAACAAAAATACATAGCGAAAATAGTTGTAGTATGGAATCATCCTTCATTTCATGAAAACTGTTGTCAGATTGAAATCATGAATTGGTCTGTGGGGACTTGATTGGTTTCGGGTTTGATATAAGATTGGTATCAATTATAGAATAGCTGTAAACCAAGGAGTATTGGACAACAAGATGTTTCGTCCTAGTTCGGGACTCATCAGAATTGCGCACTCAGAACCTTCCGGTTACAAAACAAGTTCTAGACCAATGAGTCACTGGAACCCGATTCAGTGACCCAGGAATACTAACTCTGACCAATTCTTGATTTAAGCACGACGACCAGCCAGCGTTACTGTCGCGTATTTGTCTCCATACCCTACTGGTTACGACTTCTCATTAAAACTCTAGGCAACTTCATTCTGTAGCCATTCATTAGCGAGCGTCTGATTAATTTTCAAGTGTTAGCTTGCAGAGATATGATCTGTTCCAAGTGTGATCACGGCTACCCTGATTTATTTATTTTATTGATTGCAGTGGAGTTTTGAAGAGATGGTGGTTCTGCATGAGCCATATGGAGAACATGATCACTCAATGAAATAAAAATACCCCTAACTGACCAGTCCTAAAACTAGAACAGCTAGCTGCTAGAACCGCTTGTACATTATGCATTAAAAATACCAAGATATATTATTATAACAACCATCAAAAACCTGGGAGAACAAAGGACAGCTGCTTCATCCTAGCTTGAGACTCTTTGGCAGTATCCTACTCCTGACCCTACCAGACGTCGAACCCAGGATATGCAAAGCACAATAGTAAGCTGGTTGACCATTCAGGTACTGGGAAAGAATCCAATGACCGATGAGTTTTAAATTCTACCAGTTCACGCGTATGCAGTGCGACTGACAGGCAATGTCATCAGCGAGTATTCGTCGTTGGACCCAATTTAGTTGACCCAACTGATCACGACTTCTCACTAGAACTTCAGGTAACTTTGTGGTAGACAGTAATTTATGTCAGTGTTTACGTCTCCAATATTGGTCGTGAGAAAAATATAAACAAAGACTGATTCAACAACCAACCACACAAAAGACTCTGCGTAGGCGGATACAGTTGGTATATAGATGATCTGACATTCAAGAAACAGCCACAAAGAGATGAAAGATTAACTTTCTGTGAGAAACAACCAATCAGAAGACTGTGTCTTTCTGCTAACAATAATCTATAATATGTACATGAAAATCTATGAATATGTGTTGATTTCCTAAAAAAAACGATCTCTTTCCTGACCCTTGTTTTCTGTTGTTACAAGTTTAGTGAAATGTTAAAATGCTTTAGGTAATAATTACAGATATATGGGGTCATTTTAAACACTAAATGACAGATATCAGTATGAACTATCTAAAGAATCTTAATTCTTTTTCAGTGGTATAACAAAGTCCCGTGTAGATGATAAATTCACTCTTATCATTATACACAAAAAGGACGTTCAGCAATTATCAACACATATAGTGGTATACCAGCTATAAATCGATGAAAGTGAAGTTGAACACAAAACTGGGCTGGAGGAAAAACTGGATTTCATATTAGCACCACACTTTCGTATAAGTTGTAAGTATCTACTTCAGTGAATTAAAACTAAAAATGATCTCATTTTGAGTAATGCCCTTAAACATCTACTTGTTAATGACCTAAATAGTGTATTGAAACTTACTCAGAAGTGTTTGAGAACGTTTGTTGAGTAGTATTTAAGTAGTATAATGATTTTTTTTCTCATCCATTCAACATTGTTAATAAGTTTGGTTTATAAATTTACATTTGTATTTGTTGAACTGTGTTTAACAGGTTTTCTCTTCAATATTCTGTCTCATGAAAACTTGAACTATTCTCAAATATCTTACACACGATCACATTTATTGATTAAGTGTTTACTTACTGATTCAAACTGTTTTAGCCAACAGAAATATTAGATCGGAGAAGAGTCGTCCATCTCTAGAGTTCACTTTATAACCCAGGATTCAATAAATACACCTGAGTAATTTTTGTAGGGATTGTGTTTCATTGGTTGGAGGACTTCACCATGAACCGACATCGGCTAGAGAACCACTAGAAAACCTGGGCGTACTGGACAGCTGTTTTATCATAGTTTGGGAATCATCGGCAGTACGCACCCTCTGGAGTTCGAACCAAGGACCTTGGGGTTACAAGGCGAGCTCGTGGATCATTAAGTCACTGGGGCCTGATCCAGTGGCCAGCCCATGAATTTTAACTTCTGCCATTTCATGATATAACGCGACCACTTCTCAATGTCTTCTTCGATGAGTGACTGCCTCACCTTCAACCTGCTGTACTCTACTGGTTAGCGGTAACGGATTCGAGTATTAAATTCATATTTCTCCCTAAGGGTATATTATTTAAATCTCATATAAATGTGGTGTCATCTTTTATTTTCATTTTTCATCGTCACTATACCATTTTGTACCACTGGCGAGTTGGTAAAAAGTGTAATTAATTACTGGCTTTTAATTTTGCCTTCATCAAAATAAGATAAATCATTTGATTGGCTTTCCGAAGGCTTTTATTGGCTATCATCATCATTTTGTCTCCCCGATTTCAGTGAAGAATAATTTTACCTTTTAAATACATTTTTCTGTGCCTATGACGTTTCTATGGCTTTTGAGTTGACTTTACGAGATAGGGTTGCTAGCTTTAAGCCTAACCATTCATCATTTTGCTGGCTTAGGAACCTCATTCATCAGCTGTATGATGATGCTGCATGTCAAGTGATTAAAATGGTGGGCTCGCCAAAGCCTTTGAAGTGAAGGCAGGAACAAGACAAGGCTGCCACTATCACCTATGATATTCCTAACTCTGTGAACTGGATCATACGGCAGACCATGGTGTGCAATATCACAGGCATACATTAAGCCAACAAAAAAGTCTCATAAGGTTTG